TCACTTTGACGAGCGCGCGGCGCGTTGTGCGCGTCGCGCGTCGTCGCCGAAGGCTGGACGATGCGAGCAAACTCGCGCGGTGTTATATTTCAATCACGTTTGTACTGACTTTGATTATTCGCGATTCGACCACGCCGACAGTAACGCGTGGCCTAACGAACGATCTGTCCGATGCGATTGATCGGGTTATCGAATCATTTTCCATATTCCTCTGCGCGCGTCATTCTTCGCACGCCATAAAGGCTCTCTTTGCGGATCGGCATTGGCGCTTGCCAATTGTCATTGTTCATTAAATTCACATTAATTTGATCTCAAAGCTTTTTCGATTTGCAGAAAGCAAAGGTTGGATATTGTTTCGTTTTGCCATAAATTAGATTTCATGCATTTCGGTAGTTTAATATTTTATTTCAAGTTTGATATATGCGTAAATGCGTGTATATTTTCATTTGTATTGTTTTAAACAAACGCATTACTTTTTTTTATCGTTGAATTATTGAAGTTTAATTATCGAAGGAATATTTCGACATTTTCGGTCGCATAAACGAAATTCTTTAAAGACAGAACGAAATTCGCGTTGACTTGATGACGCGATAAATCATGGTAAATCCCACAGGATGGTTTTGTTTTCATTGCGCGAATACCAAATATCGATTTCATTTGCATCTCCCTGTACGACTGTATTTTCTGTGTCAACCGTATAGGTTTCCCAATATAGCGGAATGTGCATCAAGCATCTATTGTATATTGCAACCCTCAAGTGCCGAGCTGAATAATTAGCACATATCTATTATTCAAGCTGGATTAATTAATTACGACGACGAATTATTAACGAAAGTCAGTTTACTTTGGCCGTGATTATTCCGTAACGTTGGACGTCCATCTCGCCGTGTTATTCGACACGCGAAATATTGAAAAACTATTATGCGTTCCATTAACCGCGAATGTTTTCATATCGATTTCTCTCCGACAAAAATTTCGCGTATTAATGTAATATTAAAAACCGTTAACTCGCCGCTGCTTGTAAAATTTCACGGATATCTTGCAGGATCTGAAAAGTCCTCCTAAAAGCCCGCTTATGGTGCATTAAGCGTTCTCCAAATCTCGGCAAATCTCAAAGCGGGAACTAAGCCGATAGTCTCTGTCGACTCTTCTTTCGCGGAATGGCGGAACAATAGAGTCTACCTGTGTTATGTCCGAGCTCTCGGGCCGGCTACGGGAGTTAAAATCAAGTAAAATCCTCCCACCGCTTTTTGTTCCTACTTACGTCCCCTCGCGCACGGCCACACTCGCGTATTCGTATAGAGTCGTGCTGACGCGTGTGCTTTTGTTAACGGCACGATTTTCAGCTGCGCTCTAGAAACACACATTTGCGCGCTCGTGGAAAACCAAATATTCAACGTGATTTTTCTGATAGTATTCATTTTCTCGGAGAGAGAAAAAAAAGCAATCAGTTTCGCCGACGAAATGTAAGAAGACTCATTCGAATATACTCGCGCGAGTGTGTACACGCGCGCCGGTTGCAACCCTACACACGAGTTGTTGAGATCAAGCCGACTCGACTGGTCGCCGAGGGAGCATTTTTGTAGTTAAATACCTGAGCCGCTCACCGTTGCCTTCCGTTCTTCTCTGGGATGTTCCGCTTACACGTGAAAAGAATGAGAGGAAGACCGAGAGTGCGAGTGAGACAAAAAAAGGGTCCGAGAGTATAGATTCGACATGCACGCGAGCGAGTTTTTTAATCTTTCAATGGGCCTCCTACGCTCCGGAAAGCTCCGCTCTTTCTATCCACCCCGCCCATCACCCCTAGCCACTCGATTCTGCAAACCCCTCTCGAACCTTCATCCCACTTCAACCCTACCACCCGCTGCCCGCTCGACTGCCTGTCTCTCGATATATTTACATATTTTCGTGATATTTCGCGACGTTAATCCCTGAGCCTTCCTATCCTCTCCCTCTCCCCCACCCCTCTTTCCCACCCCTTTGCTCCAGCGAGCGCGAATTAAATGTGAAAACTCGCCTCCGGCTATTTTCTCTCTTCTCTGTCTCTCTCCCTCTTTCCACTCCCAGAGCTTTATTGTCAAATTCGCGCTCGACTACGGCTTCCTCTCACTCACTCGGCGATTTTCTCTCGACGTTTTTTTTTTTTGTTTTTCGTCAGCACTCGGTTGTCGTTGTTATTGTGTCGTTGCACCGAGTCATTTCGCTTCTTTTTTTTTCTCGGTCGAGATGCGCGAGATCAACGCGCGACGCAAGGAGGGCACTCGGACAATTCGCCGAGCGCTTCTGATCCGCCGGCTGCAACGACTCGGCGGCTCGATCGAGTGCCTGCACCCTCGTCGTCGTCGTCGAATTTTTAGAGGAGCGCAAACGCGACGCGTAGGGACCCCGGCGGGATTCAAAGGCGCGGAAATTGTGTCAGCCGTTATGAAATATGCAGGCGCGCAACGCGGTTGATCCCGTCGTTTTACCTTCCTTCGTGTGGATGAAGCAACCGGGAGGCTGATACCGCAAGCCGAAGAACATCTCCATAACCGGAACTCACGTCAGATTCCTTACATGAAGCATGAGCTTCCACTGGGACTGACTGAAGTATCAAACGCCGGTATATAAGATACACATAGAGTCGGAAAATTCTTGTATACAAAAGTGAGCTTAGGGCGAAATATATATTTTAGCAAACGCGCGGAAAAATGCCACGGTTGCGACGCGTGTGAAATTATTCCGTTTCTAAATTCATATGATCCATTCGATTACAAATTTGACCGAATATTGACGATCAGAAGAAGTTTGACGGAAAAGAGCTTAATGACACTTGGTACTGATTTTCTAGCCTCTTAATTCTCCGCGTAATAATTTGATAAATTCCATTAGCCATTTATCGAATGCCGTTCAACGCGAAAATTAAAACGCCGAGATGCGAAGCGCAGCAGCGCTGATACCTGAAATCGATCTTGACGACGATCGATCGCGCGGCGACAGCTCGCACTAATTTTTCGGAATATCCGAGAGCCATTGGGCGAAAGCCGGCAATCTGTCTAGCGATCCGTCTAGCTCTCTCTCGTCGAGAGAAGATCTGATACGGGGGGGATTTCGAAGAGCGCGCGCGGTCAAAGAGCGATTTTGAAGGGTTTGCTGCGGAAGATCCAGTCGGGACGCAATCCCGCAGACACGGGAGCGAAATCGATTCTCTCGAAGCGAACAACCCGTGGGAGGCCGCTCTCAGCACGCTCGATTTACGAGCGATTCAACGACACCGAGGAGACGGACGAGCGGGACAACGAGATAAGATTAGACACGAAAGCCATCCCATTTTCCGAGGAGCCTCACTTTCGCAGAGTAACTGTCGTGTCGCTGAAACGTGGGGACTTAATTACGCTGAATGTTTTGAAATTATTTTCACGAAGATCTCAATTATAGACAGAATGTCAATATCAATCCAAAACGTTATTCGATTCTAATTCTCAACAGGACTTTTTTTTTCAAATATATCGACTCGCGTAAAAATCAAGATGTTGAAGCTATTCGGCTCCTCCTCTCGTTCTCTTAGCTCAAATTCGCGCGTTATCGAAACAACAGTTCCTTAGCGGTCCGATCATCGAACGGCACGGTGGTTAGATTACTTGAGAGCACGTTCTATCTGCCCGCGGTGGTTAATCGCGCGCTTTATGGGGACGATCGTCGCGAGGGGGCCGATCGTCGCAGCGGAAACCGCTTCCTCTTTAGCGTCGCCCGCGATACGATCTCGGCGCGCCGCACTCACGAGGATCTAATACGCCCGGAGTTCCTAATCTGATCCCGGGGAATGCCGGGGAACGAACCGTTCGCAGTTATTACGCGCGACTACGCTCTCGATAGGGGGATACACACACATAACGCCGTTATGGATACAAGCGCGGATGATAGTTCGAGAGATCGGGATCGTCCCTCCGGGCGCCGGCCGCACGAGGGGGAGGAAGGGGCGGCGGGGCGGAAGGCCCGCGCGAAGAAAGGACGCTTATTCCGTAAGCGCAATTCCTCACACGAGCTCGGAACCTCTATTACACCACCTGCGATTCTCTCGGCACGAAGATGCCTCTCGCGCGCGATTGGTCGTTCGCATCGCGAACGATCGCCAGTCGGATCGTAGGAATGCGGCTGCGATTTATGGCCAAATGACAGCCAGCGAATGATTTAGACTGCAAACCACTGACTTTCAGAAAAATCGGCTCCATGCACAAGTCATGTTCTTCTCTCGCTGTCTTGCTCTTGCGGAAAGTAATATACAAAATGCGAAATCTAATATGTGTGGTAAGTGATATATAAGTATCGTAAAACTCAGAAGATGTGTTCTCTTGTCGAGCTATATAATGTTTCGAAAATACAGCGTGCGTATATCATCCAGGGATGTGTGCGTGCGCAGAATGTTACGTGGCTATTACGATATTACAATCAATTGGTCAGATCAGTAGTAGTGAGATAAATCACGGTTCTATAAAATCACTGATCTGTACGGAACATCGTTGGCTGGCTTAAATCAGAATGTGATCGATACGAGTCGATGTAATTGTCACAATTCGGCGCGTTGAATTTATAGGTAGAGTAATATGCTCGCGCGTTTGCTGCGTGTTATTTGACATTGTCGTATTTCTCGACACGATCTCTCGCAGTCGTAACGAAAGTTTTTCAGACATGAATTAGCGTGTACAGTCGCAGTCACTGTGGATCGTTGTATTTCACGATATTTATTCGTTTGAGAATGCGTCAGTCGTATGTCGGGAGAATCAAATGTATCGCTCGATCAAGATGATGATAAAAAGCAAGTGAAAATAATTAGATTTAGCGGTAATATTTGTGCTCGATATTTTTCGTACCGAGTTTTTCGATGGACAGAATTGTTTTGCGCGTGTAATGATCGAGATTGTTTCGGAATCGTAGTATATCGCATCGAGAGTGTAAAACGCGCTTGTAAAACTCGGGTATGGCGTATGAATAAATCGTATTAATTAGTGTGTTTGTTGTAGGTGTGTTCGGAGCAACAGCGGAGCCGGCGGATTGCAGCGGCGGGACATCGGCTGGTGAGTAAATTTTAATATCACATTACGTAATGTGTGCGCGAATCGTTTTGATGCGGCCGTATGTAAGAGCGTGAAGTAATTGTTAGTGGAAATAATTCGCGCTAAATCCACATTGCGTGTCTCTTTCGGTCGGAAGAGCATAGATACGAGAGAACTATATGCAGCCTTGCCGCAGCGAGCATTTTTAAGTGGCGCTCATTTTTTACATCGTAAGGTGATTATTTTTAACATTGATGAATTTTTACCGACGATTAAAATTTGTCAGAATTGCTCAGGATTGAATTATGAAACATGAAATATCATCAAAAGAGAAAAAAAATTTTAATCTTTTTCTCTTTCGATGACGAGATTTAATTTTTCATAATAGCAATTCTATCGACAAATGTCGATTTTTAAATTGTCGATTAAAGTTAACCGAAGCTGAAAATAGTCGTCTTCAAAATCCAAATGAGTTTCTTGATGGATCATTTTTGCACACTTGAAGAGTATATTGTACGTATTATACGATTAATTAGGTGCTTGTTTTTCTTTAAAATTACAAAGTGCAGTCTTGGGTTGTCGATCAAAGGGTCACTGAATATAGGAAGGAATACTCGTTGTCGGTACTCGTGGCGGAAGGTTGTTACAACGCGCGTGACGTGGTATATACGCAAGGAAGGCATAAACCGAGACAATAGCCGCCTAAGGGCATCCGAGATGACCACCATTAGAAACGCGTTCCCCCCTCGTTCTCCGCTCCTTGCCGGTGACTCGGTCCGAACTCAACAAACTCCGCAACGGCGAAATTTCACGCGCGCGCCGGCATTATGCATCTGCGAGAAAAGCCAACCGGCAGCTAATCGCGTTACCCCATTACGCCGCACGCCAACATTCGGAAATGCAGCTGCGAAAGGAAGCGCCTGTGATCAGTTTAGCGTGCGCGAACGGAAATTCGGAGACGCCGATTAAACGCCCCCCCCCCTCCCCTTCGGCGATCCTGGCGTAACTTCGGGGTCGAGATCTCGACGTTGCCGAACTTGATTTATTTTTTAGTTCACAAACGCGCGAACTCCATATGGAAATCTTGGCATCGAACGGGATGGCGCAACTTGCGGGTATCTGCGATAATATCGGAATCGGAATCTGGAATTTCCGGCGGGAAGTTCGCGCCGGACTACGAGCATTATTCTCACGCGCGATAATCGCGAGAGCTTTACGATGAGGAAAGCAGCTGAGAGGAGAGCGGGGGAGAGAGAGAGAAAGAGAGAGAGAGAGAGAGAGATTTCCGTGGTATTCGAGGCGCGAACGATAAAGGAGGAGTTTCGGGCCGAAGCCGGAGGGCGAGGGAGATTTCCGCGTGAGGATATATGGAGGGAAAGAAGGGGAGGGGGAGGAGAGGGTGGCGTACGTGGCCTATACGAGTGAGTAATAAGCACCTGCCCGCCTTGGAACCAGCGACTTGATTCATTTCGCGGTAAGTACAGAGCGCGCCGAACGCCCAGGCCCGCAAACGCCTTAGGCCGAGTTCACCGAGACCTTCCTGTTCTTCTTCTTGTCCGTCCCGACCATAATATCTACGCATTCCCGATCCGACAGGCCCCATGTTTCCTCGCTGGCGATTTCGTCTTACAATCAGATCCCGTTCGCGTTTCGCCGTTACGCGTCCCATCTTCTTCGTTCCACTTCTCGAAAGACGCAGCGGGCGAATAATTAAGATGCGCGAAACCACGGAAGTTTCGGAGGATTGGCCGGTGCAGAGCTCCGCGAAGGTTCGCTTCAAATAACGTTATCGACTTGCATTTCACGAGCTCGGTATTTTTTAATTCAATCGTACGAAAATTTGTTTTCAACGAAATAAGTTTCGAGCTTGCCGAAAAAAAAAAGAATGCAACTGCATGCATGTATCGCCGCGCGAAATAGTTGGGCGATTCCGCTGTAGTTCGGCATAAAGAAAGGCGCCATAATGTCTCATGGAGAAAAGGATATTCCGGCGGGGCGCGAAAGTGCTCGCGCCCGCAAGGGAGGATAAGTATATCGCTGACGTATTTTGTAAAATGCAGATCCGCCGCGCGCTAAGGCCTCGTTTCACGCGCAGTAAACGCGCTTCCGAAGTACAATTCCGCCCCGAAACTCGAGAATATTTCACGATTTCGCGAAACGATCAGCGGTAGCGCCGCGGGAATCTTTATCGCGCGTTTTCGCCGAGTAAACAGTCAGAGATCCATAACGTTTATCCGATCTTTTACTACTCGTGCGATCGTAGCTTGCAGCCAGCTAACGTTTTCAGCTAACCGTAGAACAAAAGTGTCTATAAATTGCAGAAAATCGCATTTGCATTCGCTATCTTGTACATTTGGAATAATAATTTATCAATAGATATATTAATCACTTTAATTATTTGATTAATATCATGATATAATACCACATGATATTGACTTATCAGAATAAATAAATAAATAATCGCTTCACCTGCCCCTTTCTTGCCTGTTTCGAGATTAATCGAGCGAGCGATTAATGTTGACCGACGGTTCGGCAGGAATCTTTCCGCGATGTTCCGCGTTTACTTTCAGCCGTAATGAAGGAATGAGGGTTAACTAGAGAGGCATAAAACGGCCATCGGACAAAAGCCGACGATAATTGGTTCCGGCTGAATAAGGATGCAAGAGAAGTGTAAACACGAAAGAAGAGCAGGAAGGTCAGGGAAGAACTCGCGAGAGGACACGAATTAACCATTCTATTGCCGGCGGCGGTATTTTTGCCGAATATTTTTGAATTTTCGACAGGCAGCGTCAAATATTTGACTGTTTGCCTTCCATTGCCAAGATCCTTGTTGACACGGCGCAATCGATCGCGATGTCACTTTTGTCTTTCGCCAAATTATTCACGAGCCGCCGTCGATTTGAGTCACGGCAGTTATCTATCGCCGCGGGATCGATGTATCGATCGCACGACCAGATTGTCGCCGCGGGAATTCGCGGAACGCTATTCTTCCGCGAACGCTATAGGAAATCGTCCGAAAATTGATAGGGGCATCGATCTATGAGCAGCGACAGAGACAATCTCGTTGGTCAAACAATCGTTTCTCTCTATGCGAAATCTAATGACTTATTCACCCGACTTATTCAAGCGCGATCGATCTGCCGAACGCAATTTCGTTTATCCGCGATAGAAGAAGCGTAAAATGTTTATATCGGCTCACTCAATTCCCTCCGTTCGGTTTACCTGAACTTCTCAGAGTCATTCAATGACGTACGATGATCGAGCGCGGAAGCGCAAACAGTTGTTTTTAACAAACGCCTTTTTATGGCGTCGGCGTCGCCGCTACTCCGCCTAATCGAGAGTTTATGCCTTTATTCAGCGGAATAAAGGGATATCCCGGGAAAGCGTGCGAGCGAATGTTCGGCGGCATGGAACATTTAACGCCGCGGCGCTCCGGCCGCAGTAAAAACGACGCCACGCCAGTGCGACTGACAGGAAGAAAGAGGGTTGGCGCGGGGATGGAAAGAGGGACGAGATAGAGGTGGAACAGTCTCTCGTATTTGTACTCCGACGCCCGAACCAGTATATTCCCTGCCTGCGAATTTCACCTGGTTTATATTTTCTGTCGTTTCCGGCGCATCGCGTAATTTTCGCCCCCATTCCCCCTCTCTCCCCCCCCCCCGTCGCCCTCTCATTCCAACGCCCTCCGCTCGCTCTCCCGGATTTTTATGGGGATAATCCACCCTACCCGCGGCCGCGCCACTGACACTTGTTTCATCCGTCGGCGAGAGGAAGGCTTCCGCATATTCCTCCGCCTCGGCGAGAAGGAAAGAAGGTAAACGCGAGAATATTAACACACACTCCCGACTTTGAAGAAATTGCAGGGAAAAGAAGGGTAATGTTGGTACTTGGGTTACATAATTAATAGCGTGTGTTGCGCGACTGTAAAAAATTGATGATGCTCATTCCAGCGAAAATGCGAAATAATAATGACGCGTAATTTTTTGCAGTATGCGCACATAGCTTTCCGTAAATTTTCGATATTGCGAGTAAAATTTCGAGTAGCCGAACGGGGCGCAAGGGAGAAAAGCGGGGAATGGAAGGATGTTGGCGGTGGGAGCCGGTCGCGGCGCAGAGAGACTCGTGCGTAAACGGTTTTTTATTTTATCGCTTTTCTTTCGTGTCACGTACATGCTATAAAACCCTCGAAACATGCAATACACCCGTCTGATATAATCGTTGGTTAATTTTATAAACATTTAATTTTCGCGTGTCGAGGGAGAAAAAGCATTTCTCTTTGCACATCGATAATTAAGATATTGAGTGTGAAGTGTGCATGTTTCTAAAATGTCGAATCATAAATATTAGCATGTAAGATCGCACGATGATAAATATCTCACGTCGGTTTCCTTGCATCGGCCGTCGCGTTCCCGCGAGCGGGCATTTTCGATCGTCGGCGTGACGAGGAGCACGCCAAATGGGACGGCATCATCCTCCCATCAGCGGTCACGTAGAACATTTTGACGTTGTACCGACACTACGACGTCGCCGAAAAAGAAGCAAGAACGGCGCGCCGACCGCGACCGAAGGGAAAACGAGAACGAGGGAGGTAACGCGATTACGTCAGGTACACGACGAGGCGGGGAGGGAAGTTCGTGAAACTCGTACGTGGTGCGACGCAAAGTGGTCGGAAACGAGGTTATCATTTTCTCCGGGAAGAGCCGTCAGCTGGACCGACTGGAAGGGTGAAGAGGAGGGAGTGTTAGACACCGCGAAAGTTGACGGGAAAAACGTTTGATGGACGAATATTCGAAGTTTTGACAGGGCCGTCGGCCAATTTCCATGAATTACGAATGAATTCGAGCCCTGGCCGGCTCTTGCCGCCGCCTTTCGTGTCGACATTTACTCCGCCTTTCCGCGAAAAACTTGGGCTATCGAGCAAAGTTACTTGTTCTGTCCCGACGAGTCCGAGCGAAACGAATGACATCGGTCACCGGTCGCCATAAACAAGTCAGCGACGGAGGTCAGTGCGAAACGAGTCC